TTCAGCAGGGTATTATGGAAGGAAAAAATACTAAGTTAAACCACTTTTAAATAACAAAAAAATGCCTTGCTGGCTCAAGGAAACTTCTGTGTACCAAATTCACCTCACACAGATTTAGCATTTACGCCACTGCATTAAATTTTGAATTGTAGTTATTGGTGTTGTGCCCTTGTACTACAAACTCAATCTCTTTTGGCTAAATCCTCTAGGATGACTGCTCAGAGCTCTGTATTGCCCCAAAAGTTTAAGTGAAGATATTTTATTTGTACCTAAAAGTCTTTATTGCTCTTTGCACAAACCTCTGAACATTATGCCACCCACATGTGCCAGTTTCTGTGGAATCCATTCTAAATACAAACTTGAAACTTACTAAGCAAACACAGAAAATTATCATCCACACTAATGGTATACATTCTGTGTGTAAATTGTAAATATCTGACAGCATATACTGGATTGTAACTAAAATGCTGAATTGTAATTTGAGCCAAATTTTGCTATTGGTATTAGTTCAGTGTCCTTCTAAGAAGAGCTGAAATCAATTAGGAAAAGAGGGAATACAAATAGTCTCCTTGCTACAAGTTAAAAGGCAGAAACTCAGATTTTCTAGCTCTTATACTTACAGCTGTATTTGCATTAAGTTGGAGTTCCTGTATTCAGACATTATCAAGTGAAATTGTTAGCAGCCCATTGATAATCCTTTCATGTATTACCTGCGTTTAATTACTTCGCTGAGGAGCACTGTAAAGTATAAGAAGTAGCCACTTATTTCAGATTCATCCATCACAATTTCCTACAAGTCTTGATCTCCAGTCTTGCCTACATTGAAGTGGGTAGAAGAATCAATGTTAATACTGATGTAAAGCTGGCAAAATTTTATTTTGCACTTAAGACAGAGATCCCACACCTTTGGCATCGTTTTAGGAAAAGAGCTGTTCAAATTCTGGAACTGCGTGGAGTAATAGTAAAAGGACATTGTTATTTAGTGGTGGAAATAATAAATAGGAATCTACTTTCAGCATGGTAAAAACATTTTTCTAATAGAAAACATTTTATCAGTTGTTGACTTGCTGAAAAATGTCTGGAAAGTGTTCAATAAGTATGCTTAGTAGAATCAAGAGTGCTCCTTTGTAGAGAGGCTAGAAATAGTAACAGACATTTAAAATGCAGTAGCCTTTAAAAAGTTCCGAACAAAAAGTATGTGACAAGAAATTTTCAGTGTATCAAATTTTGCTTATCATTGGTGAAGCTGGAATGCATTTTGGCACTTATACTTGCAAAATGAGTAAAAATTAGGATGTGATTTGTGAGCAGAACTAGTACTTTAGTGCCACCAGCAGAATCCCAGAAAAAAGGTACAAAACCTGTTACAGATAATGCCTTCTGACTCCTCCAAATTAAGTCACCAGAAGGCTGATCTGTGGATTTTTATGTCCAAGCCCAAATTCATAATGTTTGATTTACATTGTATTAGCTATGTTACTAATTAACAGGTATGTAAACTACAGGTTGATAGAGTACTTCCTTAACCCATGCATTTCCAGGTAGGTAGTTCATTCAATACCATTAAACTGCTACAGGATTTATTTTAGAACAGGCTTGGTTAGCTAAATAAAAACGATTCTTACAAAAGGCTTATAATTGACGTTTAGCCTCTTACTGGTTCAGTTATCCAAATATGAATCTTGAGCTTTTACATAAAACATGAACTTAAGGGCATGCTAAGTGTTCTGAAGTGCAGAGATAGATGTAACAATATTGACTGTTAAATGTTTGGTGCCCAGGGTTTAAATACTTCAGGAAACTGAAAGATAAAGGAACAAAGCTGTTAAAGCTAATACAGGCAAAAGGAGGGCTCCACCATTGCAACAGGATCTCTTATAGCCGTCGAATGGAAGATAGCTATGAGAGATGAAAACACAAGGAAGACGCAAAAGCCAAGTGAAAAGACGTATTTATATGACACAAATTCAGATTAAAAAGCAGCTCACTGCGCAAGCATTCAGAACATCTGCATTTTCTGAAACTCTGTTTCCCATTACAAGATTTTCTATCAAAATACTCATTCTGAAAATGTTTTGTCACTTTGTTTCTTTCATGTCAATAGCAAAGGAAGGGGTATTTTACATGCAGGGATTTTATACATAAATATATTTTTATTTGTAATTAAGCCATTCTCAATAAAGGTTTAAAGTCACAGATAACCCTGTAACATAATGTAGCAAGTGCATTTATTAGCTAGCTTATGACAAAAACTATTGGAAAAATCTTCAGAGGACGTGTTATATACTTAACTGGAAATGGCACAGCTGAAACTATCATTTGGAAAAAAAAATTAAGAGTGCAAATGTTTATTTCAGCTACAAATTCATATTGCTAGGCTGTAAATTGTATTCATTCTGCACTTCCTGAACACCTACTGCATCACCTGAATCATACAAAACAAAATTCCAATATACACTAGTAGCCGAGAACAGGCAACAGCTGCTTTGTGTACTCCACAACCACTAAGTATTCTACTGGAGTGCAGCTCCAGGGGAGTAGTTTTCATTATCCATCCTGATCTGTAATAGCATCTCTGCGGCTTTCTGTTCACAACGAAAAGTATGCAACTACACCAGCCTTGCCTATGCTTTAGCTAGCATTTCTATTTTTGCCTCACAACACCGGCACTGAGCTTCTGAAGATATTCAAAGCATCTATCTGCAGCACTACTTTTGCACCTTGAAGGAGCCCATAAAAGACATTGGTCCAACTGTGGTTGTAATACGTAAAGGGAAATAGAAAGAACCAAAGTGGTCTTGTTTTACAGTACCCACAGATCTTCAAACAACTAGGACATGTCTGGGACATTACTTAGCTCTAACAGAACAGCATCAAATAGTTTGCAATTTAGAAAAAGACAGATGAAAACAATTTATGCCTCCTTTCTCCCTAAATTTTGCATTTGGGTAAATAGACACATAATGCAAAGCTTATGTAAAAATTTTTATGTCCTCTGGACTCATCATCTCCATCAAACTATAGCACAGTACTGAATAAATTTAATCATTTCATATCACTGTATTCCTACTGGATATATTTCTAGTAAGGAACAAATTTGTGTAAATGACAAAAAAAACCAACCCAAGAAGCCATTTTTCAATTATTTTACTTCACACAGTTTTGAATCCTATTATTTAAAAGTTGGTTACAGGAAATTAAAATGACAACATTAAAATAACAACTTGCAATCCACAGTAAAGCTGTCATCCAACAGTACCTTTTAATTTGTTATGTAACATTTAATTTTAATGAGATGGTCTCTCTTACTCTTTGATTATATTGGGTATAAAATAAGGCTGGACTGCTTCGGTGAGCTTGTCTGCATACATTTCATATCTACCAGTCATCTGGAAAAGAAAAATCAAAGCTTCATTTCTTTTAGTGAGCTAAGATAGTCCTTCAGAAGAAGATACTTTTATCCACCATTTTTTTTTTTATAAAGACATATTATTTACTTGCCCCAAACAATAAAATTATACTTCACTCAAAATGAAAGACCTCCAGTGCCTTAGCACAAACTAAATATACTTCTATAAAAGAACTCACATTGTGTTGCCTAAAACTATACTTCTACACAAAAAAGTGCAGAAGTGCATTTCCACTCTAAAAAGTAAAACTTTAAAACGAACACCTTCCTGCTTTGCAGCTCTCCTTCATTGGCAGCCATGTTTGCTGACTAATTACTTAAGGCTATTTTGGTTATCCTGGATAGCTGAAAGTTGAATCAGAAAGGTGGACTTTCTTTCTTATGCATCAGCAATATTCTCTTTTAAGTAAGTTATGTCAACAAAGTCAAAGGAGTGTCTCTGTAATTATGTCTTCATATTATGACCTTGACAACTGATGAACCCTGCTGCCTGAATGAAACACATTCAGTTTGTGTATGTGCCACTGGCAGTATTTGGGTTGCTCTTACTTTATCCATTAATACAAAATATTATCATTGCTTTGGGTGATACAGTAAGCTAGGAGCCTGAACTATAGCACTTTATGTAGTGCACTATCCTCTTCTGAAGTGCAGAGTCTACAACATTGGCTCTGAGAGGGGCGAACTACTTCCTTCTTGCCAGAGTGTAATGAGGACAATTTGTTTAACTATTCTGGTGCTGTAAGTTTAGCAAAGACATTCTACTTAACGTCCCTTTCAGGCATCATTGAATGCAAATTTCAGATACCAGAGGAGGTTAAATAGTTTCGTACTTGCTATCAAGGGTTTTCTGCAGTGGACAAACGATGACTTCAAACTTCCTCATTCCTCTCGTATCAAGAACTACCTCTGTCTTGGCCACAAATAAGAGGAAAAGGGAACAGATCCCCATCATATAAACAAAAGCCACAGCTGTGCCTTATGTGCCCAAAGACCAACAATAGCAATCCACACCATCAACATTAAACTAAGGTGCTGAAAGCACAAGACTTGGAGACAACAAAAAATAAGCAATTGTATACAAAACAGCTAAAGGTTAGTGTTTTGCTTTTACTGTTTGTTTTTCCTAATCAATACAATTGCTTTTGTTCAGATACCCCTACTGAGCTGTTACAAGCAATGCTCTGTGTGCTTACTGACACACTAAATCTCTACTCTGCAATAAGGGCCTCAGATTTTGGTGGCAAAGCAAAACTAAATGCCTGCCTGACTTAAAAAACCTGTGAATCTCTCAGCACAATTTAATTCCACTATGTCAACAACTGTATACCTACCACACAGATCTGTAAAATAACAAATGCAATTCTGTCCAGAAGATGACCTGAAATTACTTTTTGTCTTTAGTCCCTATATATGGATTGGCAGCATCACCAAAGAAGTTCAGCTCTTGCTAAGAAGTGACAATGTTTTATTAAAAAGTTTATTCAGCATTTCAAATCCACAGAAAATTTGTATTTTTACATCAAATTGAAATCAAAACACATTATATACTGCAATGCACAAGGTGGTTCCAAATAAACCAGCTCTATAAAATAAATGTCTGCGTGCAGTAACATTATGTGCAAAAATCGACATTCCTTGCAAATGATTACTGATTTTAAATACTAGACTATCACTGAAGAACCTACATATATTGTGATAGTTGCTAGGCAGGAGTTCTGGTCTTTGTTAGGATTCAAATCATGCTGATCTTAAGAGTGGATACAAAAAATTCTAGTCTCTAGCAGTACTGAGGATGAGAACCTGTCTCCACAGACGCAAAATGCTTTGTTCATCAACAAAGCCTATTTAAGAAGTTATCATCTCTCTTCTGCTTTTGCTTGCCTTCTTTGTGTTCCAACAGAGTATTTGTGGGGCCTGCTGTAAACTTGATCCAATTAAAAGAAGAAACTAGACCATGGTTGGTTTATTTGTTTAAAAAAAAAAAAATATCTGGTCACTCCACTAAACCAGTACACGATATAGCACCCCACATAGCTTGTACTGGCGCAACTGAAGAGTTGGCAAACTGCAGCGCTGAGGTGGCAATTTCTTAAACCAGCACTGCTGCTGGACAAATTAAATCAAACTACACCCTCAGGACAGATGATCCAAGTTAGCTTTATCTCAGAATGAAAAAAAAAAAAAAAAAAAGTAATAAATAAGTTTGCTAAAGCCATGTGGAGAGGCTTGCAGTCATCTTAATCTGGTTTATATTAATTCAAAAGTGTGTTAGGATGCTTCAGAGGTGAATGTACACAGTTCTTTCTCTGTGGCTTCAACATGTCCACAAATTCAGGGAGTTAACACTGCAAGAGGTTTTCACACAGGAAGTTCTCAGAAGCTTAAAGATTCTTGTGTTTTTGGGTTTTCACTAAATTTCACCAAAACTGACAAGTAAGGCTTATAAGAATATAAAGAGCTACCATATTAAGTCAGATCAAAGGCCCATCTCAGCTCAGTGGCACGTGTCTATGTACCTTGCATAAGGAAACCGCACACATTTCCCCTAGCGGTCCTCTGAGCTCCTGGCAAGCCACATTTACAGACCAAAGGCTAAGGTTTTCATTTAAAAGCTATTGGCCTACTTTCCCTGAATTTGGCTATTCCTTTTCTGAATCCATTTATGCTTTTGGCCTCCAGAACATCCTGTTAAATTAGTCCAACAGTTTAAGCTTTGGACTATTAGGAAAAAAAAAAAAAAGCCTGCCTTTTAACTATTGTAAAATTGTATGATCATTATCAAAGCTTGTTTGTTCTAATATCCTATCTAAGTTTGGTTCTTTATAAGCAGGCTTACCTTAAAATTCCATTTGTCACTGACTTGCCTGCAAAGATTTAGATCCATCTCTACCACCAGAAGTCCATCCTGAGTGCGAGAGAGTCCTGGGGTCCGACTGCCATCTGGTGCAGCTACATAACTTGAGCCATAAAAATGGCCCAAGTCATGGTGTGCTTAAATAAATTTTTAAAAAGCATGTAACACCATCGGCAAATCAGCATACAACTTAACATGCAGTGTCCCATAAAACCTGGCTCAATTTCTTGTGGGTTGCTCGCTCACTGTGCTTTAAGCAAGATAATCCTGAAGAGTCACAGCACGATCTTAAGGTAACTGTAGTTTTGACCAGTAGTTACTTTCATGCATGGTACAGCTCTCACATATATCGAATTAACAGGAAAAAACTCACTGCCTTGCCTTTTAAATAATGCATTATTACGCTTTCCCATTATTAAGTCCCTGAACTAAAGACTTTGCTTTCATCATTATTTAGAATTTAAATGAATTCTAATTGTCAAATCATACATTTCCAAAACAGCTGACAGAGATGCACCCATTCAATTTTCAATACAAAGTCAGAAGGGAAAACACTGGGATTTGATGCATGGGGGGAAAAAGAAAAAAAAAAAAAATCTTACTTCATATTGCAGAACTCTGACTTGTGCCAAAAATCAGCCACATCTGTTGTACTACTAACCAATGGATACCACTGACCTTTTTGATGCAGCTGCTACAAACACTTAGCTCCAGAACTAGCTAAAAAAAAGGCTCAGGCCTACTCCAGATTAAGCCAGAAGCTGTCATGGTTGTCACAGGACAAATTATAGTGTTTCAACATACAAGTGAAGTACATACAAGCAAATGTCATGCTCTTCTTTGAGAATGCTCTTCTTTGAGCATTCTCTTCTTTAACTTCCAGCAAATCTGTGAAACAGGGCAAAATGGCTTGGCCAGAGATTCAGGCTGGGCTATTACTGTTAATAGTCTTAAAACTACAATGTCATGCATGCACTGACAACACAGGCTAACTTGTGGGATTTCTGTCTTCCAGTCCTATAATACTGCATTGACTCCAAAGCTCTTAGTCCTCTGAAAGTATACAGAAACTTTAGGTATGAACTTCTGGTGACCACATATTGTGGTACCACAACCTTTAATAGGAAGTGCTGCTCTTCTCCAGCTTACAAAACAGCAGTCGTAAGTAAGGCAGTCACTAGCTACCATAGCTGTCATGGGATAGACACTTGCAGGAGAGCTATCATTTCTTCAGACTTTCTGGTTAACAATTATTAGCAACCACTGAATGTGATTTCTGAACATACCTTTTCCACCATCTCCAGAAGTAAAGGCATTTTTGTAGTATTCCTGTGAAATAAGAGGAATCTGTAGGTGGCAGTATAATTCCATTTAATTCAAGAAATCCTTGCTAGTCTACCATATTTAGTATGGAAGTTTATATAAATCTATTAAGATTTTTTCTGGCATGCTATCAGCACTGTCTAAAGGGAGTCATCAGAAGGGCCTGGTTTCTATGATGGATAGGCTAGAAAACAAGATCATTTTGTATCACTGCCTGCTGTTCATATACTTTGGGGAACATGTCTTGTACCAGTTTCGCAAGCCTAAAGAGGCGGCAAAGAGGAGACATTTAACCAAAAGCATCTTTGCGGATCACAAAAGAAAGCAAATGTATTCACATAATGACAAGAACAAGTCTGGATTTTTGCAGGGAACCTTATAAAAGAACACATGTAGGGTATTTGGACTAATCTGAAAGTAAGAATGACCTATTGTGTGCAATATTAATTTTCATTATAGAATTTCAGTGTCCAGAAAGAGGTATCTGTACAAATCTGTACAACAGCAACCAGTTGCGTACCACTGACTTGAGGATATATTTCGTTTTCAGTCATTTTGGCTAAAAGAATACTGATTTCACCATAGCAAATAGGAGAATTAGCAAAAGGGTGGGTGCCTATTACAAAGAGAGCAATTCAAGAACAGGAAGCAGCTGCAACAAGAAGTAGGCTGCCAGCAACAAGGCAGCTCTCAATCTCTTTATCACTGTCCATCTTCAAATCATTATTATAAACACTAATACAGTAGTTATACAGTAGAGGAATCGATGCATTCTAGTGCTAGTCAGTTCATTATCTTGAATTAACTCATGCTGCAATACCTAAATTATGAAATGAAATAACAAAGTGAAGATACATACCGTTCCTACCCTGTTGATGGGACATGTAAAGCAGTGATTCGCGATGGCAGCATTTCTTGCTTCAATTGGCCACAGTGACTCGCTGCAATACACAAAAGAGGAGGCAGGTATTCACTACTTATCTACTTCAGAGCTAAATTTAGATTGTAACTGTCTCGCACTGTACATTTTCTGTCAAAGAAGCCAAAGTTAGCTGCTAAGACTGATCTTGCTCTTACAATCAAAATCTCCCCACAGATACAGCCAAGCACTATGATTATTTTCTGCTCAAATATAGGTATAAACAATTCTATCTGATAACCTCATAAATACAGCTTTGTCATGGCAAAAAAAAGAAAAAAAATTAACACATCTCAAGATTTTCAAAGCAATTAAAGTGTATAATGTTTTACTCCCCAAGTTATGCAAAGGATTTACACATGTGCTTTCACATTCCATTAACTTTCACTATACAAAGCATCATTCTGCAGCAAAGCTGTAAGAGATTCATACAAGTTGCCTCCTTTTTCCCCAAAATGGTCCAGGAGAGGCTTTTGCAGCAGTGAATGAAAAAAAGCCATTAATTATGGGAATAGTGAAAAAAAGAAAGGAAAAGAAAAATCCATTTCCACCAAAATTTCCTACTTCTGTTATTTCAACCACAGTTTTCATAGCACTTTCCAGTAAGTCATTTTCCCATGGTGGGGTGATGAAAAAGAAAGCATGTTTAACAAAAGCATCCTGATAACTTCCCAGTAATTATGTATTAAACCAGCCACCAAATTTACATAAAACCAAGAACTGAGAAAGGAGAAATAAAAAATTCCTTCTCTTTTATAAGCCTCTACCTCTTTTCCAAAGGAGATTTCAATTCCGACTGATGTTTAAAATTGGAATAGTCTTCTTTTTATTAAATAGTTTGATACATATAGTTATAATACATAATAGTTAATAGGAGGTCTGGAAGTACTCAGAGCTCCAAAACAAAGGTGATGTAATTTGTACACTCCTGTGACAGCACGTACCTGCCAGCTTCTGAGTATCAAGACAAGGTTGCAAGCATCTGACTCATTAATCTCCCAGTCAGACTTGAGAATCTTAAGAGATGGACATTGGACTGATTGAAAGGACTTGGTTTATTGCCTTTTTTCTCAATTGCTTTGAGTCTGGCAGCCAGCTCTTCTAAGAAAAAGGGATTTTATTGAAAAGCTCCAGCAAATTACAATTTCACAGAAGAAGAGACACAGAGAAAAAAGGCTATAGCCAAGAAGCAACCTCAGAGACAGTTTTTACATGGGCCTCAAGAGTCCTCTTCCTGCAATAAAAATTATATGCTTAAAACCAATCAAGTGAAAGCCCATAATTAGGAGAGCCTGAAGCACCCAGAGTACCAATGAAATGCTGTATGACAACAGGGTAATTTCTGTTTGCTCTCCTGTTAATGGGCTGTAAGTGGACAAACATCACAAATATTATTCTACTAGTGACATAAATGCCCCAAAAGCATTGTGTATTCATTCAACTCTTTTCAAAGGACATCTTCCAACATTACTCAACCTAAATTACCTTTTATACCAAAAACTATTAAAGGCAGTTTGAATGACAGAATACTGCATCTAACCTACCATTCAACTCTCCAGGTTTGTAAATACATGGTTCTCTGCATCTGAACTGGCTGTGGGTATGAAAATTTTATGCCTAATGTGTTTTTCACCATTTCTACCCTATTATGAACACTCAATGTCCTCAGAATTTTCTAGCTTGTCAGCAACAAAAATTGGATTCATATTCTTGGACCTTGTTACAGAGACAGAAAAGCTCCAACTTTATATTAAACAGGTAAAGAGAGGGGATTGGGTGAATCCTGAAGAAATGAAAAATGCTAAAAAAGATATTCCTCTTATATTTGTAACACTTCTATCAGCTTGTATACCCAGTTAGCAAGTCTATATTGCCTGAACATGTCATACATTAATGTTTACAAAACTAACACTGGAAAAATCTCTTCCTCTAGGTTTAAAGAAATAAAAATGAAAGTATTCTGCAATTAGTGCACGCATACAAGCCCAGCTGAAGGGAGAGAGAAGAGAAATGAGACAGAACTTTTAGTATTATAAGAGATCAGTATGTCTTCCTTTTTTTGTTTGCTACTGGAAATTATACTTTTATTACAATATTATCAGTAACAATGAAATATGCTCCTCTTAGCTTCCTAAAACTTATCTTTGGAGCTGGAAACTCAAAGACAGTTCAGCTAGCCCAAAATATGTTTTTTTAACTCACAAAGGAAATGTTTTTGTTCCAAACAACTCTGCAAAGCCACACTCCCCCCAGCTCCCCATACAAAGCTAACCACTTATGCTGAAAAGGATTAAAAATATTAATATTTATAATTAAGCATAAACTACCATCACTTCCTCAGTCATATGTATGTAAACATTATACAATACTAAATTACTTTCCAGAGCCTAGTTATCAGGAAAAAAAAAAAAAAAAATAGAAAAAGCACAGTAGTTCTATTATGTGTTAAGCTGATGTGTAGACACATTCTGGAATCCCACACCTCAATTTACAAATAGTCTAATTTGGAATTTGAAAGTATTGAGCAGTATGGCAAAGAACAGAATACAATGACAATGAAAGGAAGGCATGGTGATTTTGTTAAGACAAGTGGTACAAAGAACCCCAAAACCATTTCTACCAGGTTTCTACCAAAACCAAGGCTCCCCACCAGCCCCAAAGAAATGCTGTTATTTTGCATGACATTATAGTATCCAAAGCAATACACAGCCTGTGTCAGACACTGCTTTGGAAGCACAGCACATTCAAAGGTTATTACATTGAAATGTGACTGATGTTGATAATGTAAAGGCAAAGAATATTCAAGATCTAATCCACAAATTAATCATTATGGGCTAGCTAAGAAGTGTATTTTCTTAGCTCACTGAGCTGGTTTTCTTTTTTCTTTTAGGAAGTCAAGTCAGTAGGGTGCAATTACTGTCAATCTGCAGAAGATTAATCTCAAGGGAAACAATTTACACTGGTTCAGTCTGGTTCAAGAGGCCTGATAATCACAAAATTGCCAACAGTTAAAGAAAAAAAAAAGTTTCTGAGAAAAGGGTTTGAAAACTGCAATTTGATACCATACTTACTGGCTCCTAGGTGGACAATGCAAGCTGGCAAGCTAAGCCTGAATATAAATTACTACTGCCTATCATAAAGCAAAAATATTACATAGATAATCTAAATAAACTCTCATTAGTTTTCAGAACACCAGCTGGATGCTGGTTAACTCTGTCTCAGAGACAAAATACCTGCAAATGTACCACTGAAGTTCTGGAACAGAATTAGTGACTATGAGCAGACTTGTAGCCCAAAACTCCAGACGGAGAAGAATGCAGATTCCTTTGTGAAGGCAAGACAAGGAGGTGATACCTCAGGGTCCAAGACCTCAGCAAGCTGTCCCTGAGGCCCCAGTGAGGGGCTCGGAGGTTCAGTTAACCCAGCGTGCAATGGCCTAAATCAGTTTATATTTTACCTGAGCGATCCAATAGTGGCTGAAGGGTTAAAGATGATCTCTGCTCCATTCATACTAAACATGAGCCAGTTCAGAGGGTGATGGCGCCCATAGCAGATATTCACAGCAATTGTTCCAAACTGTGTCTGAAACACTGGGTGTCCTGTATTTCCTTCCATATAGTAAGTAGACTACAAACAAACAAAAAACAACAAATGCAGACTTCTTGAAAAAGCGAAAAGAAACACCTTCAACATTGCTTTGACACTTCCCAATTTCTTATTACCAGCTTCAAGTCATTAGACCATGAGCGAGGACACCACCTTTCATTTAGATAGCTGCACTGTAATGGGTATATAGCAAAAAGTGGCTCTCTTAGGCTGCTGAGATCAAATTCAAGCCCCTTTCTGTTTCCTTCACTCATACTACACCTAAGCACTGTCTGACTTTGACATGAAACACTTCTATTAAAGCTAGAAACTGCTACAGAAGCTTAAGAGAGATCCACAAATTGCCAAACTTTAGCCCTCTTAGTACTTTTACCACATAAGAAAATTTTCATAAGTCATCATGATCCTTTGATTCTGATGAAAGAGAGAGATGATGAATACTATTCAAAGAACATAGAATTCCTTTACCTTCACCTGTTACGTAATGACACACAGTAATTTTATGAATGCTATAAGGCAATGTCAGTGTATAGCTAAGATTGGTAATTTAAGTTTCCTATATGCCTATTGCTCTAAACAAACAGAAGGCTTGGAACTACCACCAGGAAAATCACAGGATAAATCTAGAGAACACTCCTTAAAGAAACTGGAGCCAACTGTTGGCTTAAAAGATACCATTTACCATATGCTGCGAACTTTCATCCTACCATATCAAACATTTCTAAACAATTAGAAATGCACTGGTTCCTGTAAAAGGCACAAGTGAAGGACAGGGCATTGTTAACAGCTATCAAGAGAGACAAACATTAACAGAGATATTCTAAATGAAATATACAGAAATGGTTCTTCCCAGATACAAGAAAAGGGTACGTGTGGGGTCACTGACAGTTGCCTGCTTAGTGCTCAGCAGTAGTCAAAAACCCAAGAAAATCTCAGACATCAACAGGAAGGGTATTGAAACGTAACAAAAAACATCGGTTTGTAAGAATTCTGTGTGCCCATAGCTTGAGTACTCTGGGCAATTCCAGTGTCTGCATCTCAATAAGGATATGCTAGAGATGGAATAAGCAAAGGCAACTGAAATAATGAAGGAGATGGGGTAGCTCCCTTGTAAGGAGCAACTAAAAAGGCTCTTCAATCTGCAGACAGAAGGCTGAGGGCAATATTATGAATGAGATTTACAAAATCACAAAGGCAGTGGATAAGATGAATACAGAAATCCCAAAGCAACAGCAGTAGTGGGTATTGACTGAAATGACACTCTGGTGCCTGTTTTCAACCGAAGTAACATTTTTCATGCAGCAGGCAGTGCACTTCTGAAATTTCCTTCTTTGTGGACGCAGGTATTATCACCAAGTTCAGAAGGGATTAGACAAAGTCATTGATAAAAGAACCACAGATAAGAAATGAAACAGACAAGAACATGCCACCCAACATCCCTAATACAATGACCATGGATCCCAAGGGAGTACAAAAGTTGCAGAGCAGCCAGACTTATTACCAATAGTACCTTTCTGTGATGATCTCAGACACAGAAAAGCAAGATACATAATCCACCAGTCTGACCCAATGGGGTGTGCCTCTTATCACATAAGAAAGGTGTGTTGTAAAACAATTCTCTTTTTATTGAAACTATCTGTCCATTGTAACAACCACTGCCATTGGTCTTGAAGGAAGCAGAACCACATCAGACCTAAAGCAAGCACAGTTACAGCTGGGGAGCAAACTAGGGCCTCATTTAAGTGTAGGAGAATGGCATGATAAATACAGGGGAATCATCTTCTGAAACAAAGAAGGACTAAAGGTTCACTATGCCCAATAAGTGTGACATCTCATTTTTCTTATTTATTATCAGGTCTCATGAATTTACACAGTCTCTTGGGCACTGATTTTATCTCCTTTCATGTCTGTAGAGACCACACCACGTGGTGGGCACTCACACAATCCTTTTTCAAAACAATTCTGCTGATTGAATATATTTCCATTTTTTCTTCTATTCTCAGTTTTCTTTTATTACAAGAGGAAAAGAAAAACAAAAATGCTGTTGCTTCAGGGGATTCATCAGTTCTTATTTCTTTATTCCTAACCAGAGGTCACAATCATCTCCACAGCAACAAACTGTGATGTCTCAAGGATTGATTTTTGTTTATTTATATGCCCTCCCACACATGGCTGAATAGGTTA